TGAAAGAACTTGTGACTGATCCAGAGTCACACCAGCAGCTGCATGTGGAGGAGTCGGAAATCAAACCCGGTTCTCCCAGATTACCGAATTGCCCGAGCCAGAAGAAAGGGCAGATGATTTAGGAATCAAAAAGCCAACAGCTGTCCTGATGACATTATCCCCAAAAGCCTGCTAGGAAGGGGAATGTCCACATCAGTTTCCATCCCACTCTTCCAGGGCTCCTCAGCCCCTTTTGAGCCAGCGGGCACCTTTGGAATTCTGACACAGCACGGCGGGCGCAGCACAAAATGGCTGGCGCGGGAGATGGAGCCAGCTACAAAATGAGTGCCATAGCGTAACTTCGGTCACACCACAAAGATCTTTCTGTTGTGGTGGCAGCCAATGTTCCCTCTTAAGGTGTGCAGTCTCGTGAGCAGAAATTTTACCCTGTGAGCCAAAAGTGGTCCTAGCGTTAAAACTGTGAGCGGGCTGACATTTAAAAAAATCATTAAAGTGTACAAACATACAAACAACATATAAACTATTATAATTTGTATTACAAGCCATATATTTATATTAAACTTATTTATATTTATATGAAAAATATTTGTATTACTTAACCCCCCCCCAGGCTTAAGTGCACAGAGAGTCACTTTGCAAAGCACCAGAAGCCACCAGATAGCCTCTAGCAGGCTGCTGAGCCCGGCTCCCCCTCCCCACCTTTTCCAACTAACTTTGCCGGCTTACGTGCACAGAGAGTCACTTCGCAAAGCACCAGAAGCCACCAGATTGCCTCTAGCAGGCTGCTGAGCCCGGCTCCCCACCCCAAGACAAAACAAACAACCAGGCAGCTCACCTCAGGAAGGGCAGAAGCTGGACAACAGGGTATCTCCAGGAGCACGAGGCAGAAGACTGCCAGGGAGGGTAGCAGTGCCCCCTTTCACAGAACAAGCAAACCGCAGCTGAGGGGAGGCGGGGCCAGCCCAGATTAGGAAACACAAAGCATACTGCTGCGTTTCTGTGCTGTTGAGCAAATGGATCCGTGCTGCACGGCCATTGGGAAGGGAACCTCTCAACCCTGCGCTGTGGTAACAATTGCTGCGCTGGCCAGGGGAAATCGGTGCGCCAGCACAGCTTAAAGGGAACCTAGGTGGCAGCTGCTGCCAAAGCAACATTTTTAAACGATCTACCCAGCCCATCAAATATCCATAAGCCTGTCAGGCAAAAGCCCCATCCGGCCTCTCCCACTTTCTAAAAGCACTTGGCGGGCACCAGAAAAGGTGTTGGTGGGTACCATGGAGAATCTGGCACTATTCTGTTCAACCCGTTTTAGTACCAGGCCCTGAAATCTCTCTGGCCCCTAAGACTGGGAAAGTAAGCTTCAGAACACCATAGAATTACAAGGGGCCTAAAGATATATGAACAGAAGAGAAGCCGTGTTGGATCAGGCCAATGGCCCACCCCATCCAATACTCCTGTGTTTACTCCAAATCAGAAGAAGGTGTCATTCACAATTAGTCCACTTGGTGGCACTAACACAGCCAGTCTTCCTTGAAATCTGTGCAAGCCCTAAAATTTACCAGGGTGGTCACACCTTAGCTCTATACGAGGGCATTATAATATCAGGTGTTCAATTTTCAGTCCCTTTCCCAATAATCCCAGTACGAAGTTGCCTTTTTCACCACCAGAGAACGGTAGTTTAGCAGGTCGAGACCTGAGTGCTGCATGATGGAGTGAGCTCCAATCTCTGGCCCCAGGAGACCTTGGAAGACAGAGCATCACTGTCCCACACCTAAGAACATAAGAGAAGCCATGTTGGATCAGGCCAATGGCCCATCCAATCCAACACTCTGTGTCACACAGTGGCCAAAACCCAAGTGCCATCAGGAGGTCCACTAATGGGGCCAGAACTCCAGAAGCCCTCCCACTGTTGCCCCCCCAAGCACCAAGAAGACAGAGCATCACTGTCCCACACCTAAGAACATAAGAGAAGCCATGTTGGATCAGGCCAATGGCCCATCCAATCCAACACTCTGTGTCACACAGTGGCCAAAACCCAAGTGCCATCAGGAGGTCCACTAATGGGGCCAGAACTCCAGAAGCCCTCCCACTGTTGCCCCCCCAAGCACCAAGAAGACAGAGCATCACTGTCCCACACCTAAGAACATAAGAGAAGCCATGTTGGATCAGGCCAATGGCCCATCCAATCCAACACTCTGTGTCACACAGCGGCCAAAACCCAGGTGCCATCAAGAGGTCCACCAGCGGGGCCAGAACTCCAGAAGCCCTCCCACTGTGGCCCCCCCAAGCACCAAGAAGACAGAGCATCACTGCCCCAAATATAGTGTCCCATCTATACTTTGTGGCTAATAGCCACTCATGGACCTCTGCTCTTAAGAACATAAAAGAGAAGCCATGTTGGATCAGACCAATGGCCCATCTAGTCCAACGCAGTGGCCAAAGCCCAGGTGCCCTCAGGAGGTCCGCCAGTAGGGCCAGACCTCCAAAAGCCCTCTCAACTCTTCCCCCCCCCCCACAGCAGCAAGAAGACAGAGCATCACTGCCCCGGACAAAGTGTTCTCTCTAGACCGTGTGACTAATAGCCACTCATGGACCTCTCCTCTGTATGTTTATCCAATCCCCTCTTGAAGCTATCTATGCTTGTAGCCACCAACACTTCCTGCGACAGTGAATTCCACACAATTACTCTTTGAGCTTCTTTGAGCAGCGGTCCCTCAGTGGTATAAATAGGGGCTCTGGGGCAAGGGATGCTCTGTCATCTTGGTGCTTGGGGGGGGGGGGTCAACAGGGGGGGGGCTTCTAGTGTCCTGGCCCCACTGGGGGCCCTCCTGAGGGCACTGGTATTTCTGGCCACTGTGTGACAGAGTGTTGGACTGGATGGGCTGTTGGCCTGATCCAACATTGGCTTCTCTTATGTTCTTAAGGCAGAGCGTTCAGTTTGAAATTTGAAGTTTGAAGCCCGAAGTCAGCAGCTGTCAGTTGTGGTCAATCTACACAGAGTCTGAAAAGCCGTCTTCTCATTAGAATCATATAGAAGGGCTGTGAAAGGCATGAAGATTCTAAAGGAGGAAGAAAATCTACTTAAGGCGGCATATTACGAAGAATCGAATATAGTCAGAGTATTTTAAGAGGGTGAGTGGAAAAGCTGAGAGACCTCTAGACCGTGTGACTAATAGCCACTCATGGACCTCTCCTCTGTATGTTTATCCAATCCCCTCTTGAAGCTATCTATGCTTGTAGCCACCAACACTTCCTGCGACAGTGAATTCCACACAATTACTCTTTGAGCTTCTTTGAGCAGCGGTCCCTCAGTGGTATAAATCCAATCCAACACTCTGTGTCGCACAGTGGCCAAAACCCAGGTACCATCAAGAGGTCCACCAGCGGGGCCAGAACTCCAGAAGCCCTCCCACTGTTGCCACCCCAAGCACCAAGAAGATAGAGCATCACTGCCCCACAGCTAAGAACATGAGAAGCCATGTTGGATCAGGCCAGTGGCCCATCCAATCCAACACTTTGTGTCACACAGCGGCCAAAACCCAGGTGCCATCAAGAGGTCCACCAGCGGGGCCAGGCCCCACTGGTGGACCTCCTGAGGGCACTGGTATTTCTGGCCACTGTGTGATACAGAGTGTTGGGCTGGATGGGTCTTTGGCCTGATCCAACATTGGCGTCTCTTATGTTCTTTTTGCAAACAACAGAGTTTTGCACAATGAAGGGGGAAACGCGGGAGCCTCACAATCCCCTACTTGCTCTTTCTGATCCTATGCAGAATGTCCACTTGGCACCAACACTGTTGTCCCGATGGTAATCACACCCTCAGGGTTATCTAATCGTTCCCCAATTATGCCAGACAAGCAGGATGGTGAGATTCCACCTCTCACTTATCTACAAGCAAGCAATTTGCTGGTCACGAGTTCGACTGCCAAAGCTTGTGATTTTGCCAATATGTTTATTGCTTATCGGTTACACGTGCTTCATGGCGGCTTTCAGAGATAGCCTGGGCACGTGCCACAGCGCAAATCAAAAACAGCCACGGCAATATGAACAGACTTTGAAACAATTAAGAAGCCGTAGAGCAATCCAAAGAGTGGAGGAGGGAGAGAGAGAGCTCTACATTGCCTCCGTCGTTAACAGGACGTTTTCCACGTCACGCAAAGCTCTCCGCAACCCATGCGTCATCTGTCCTCATGAGAACTCGGAGAGACCATCACAAAGCTGGTTTCCCGCTGCAGCCAAAGTTACCCCCCCCCCCCCGAACGCACATGGCTCCTTGGGCATCAAAACCAAAGCATCGGACCTTTATTTTGCAGGCAGAACTAAATGCCGGTTCAGTTCAGGCGTCACGCACAAAGCCATGTTTTACTTCAGAGGTCTTCCCCCACATGGTGCCCCTGGGCGCCAGGGCAGCCGCTGACCCCTTTCCTGGCGCTCGCCAAGGGTTTTTAGCAAGTGGGCGTGGCCACTGTGAAAGACCTCTAACCTGAGAGACCCTGGAGAGCCGCTGCCAGTCTGAGTAGACAATGCCGACCTTTGATGGACCAGCAGTCTGAGTCAGTATAATGCAGCTTCAGGTGTTCAGTCCGTTAGGTGCAGATGCCAAATGGAACCGTCCTATTTAGGGAGGGGCCCTGGATCAGTATTAGAGCACCTGTTTGGCACCCTGTGGTGGCTCAAGTGGTTAAGACGGCTCTTCGGCTTGGAAACGGAGATGAGCACCGCAACCCTCGAGTCGGACTCGATTGGCTTTCGAGCAAGGGAACCTTTACCTTTACCTTGGCACGCAGAAGGTCCCAGTTTCGATTCATCCAGCAACTTCTTGTCGATATTTTAGTCCCCCACCCTCCCACGCTTTCTAATCGATGGGTGGAAAGTGAATCAGGGGTTGGAATTTTGACCAAGAGTGAAGCGGCCCGCAGACGCGCAGGGAGAAGCCCGCGGCAGAGCAGCCATTCACACGTACTTAACAAACACCCGCGGAAGAAAGACACGTGCATTACCTCGCGCGAAAGGCGCAGCTCCTCCCCGCGTTCCAATCCTCTCTTCCTGCTCCTGCAGGCCCCGCCCAGTGAACTCCGATTTCCGGCTCACCGCAGAACGGCAGCCCGCCCAAAGGGACCTTCCGCTGCGGTGATTGGTCAAAGAAGAACAGGGGCCTCGAGGTTCCGGTTCCCTCCTCGGATGTAGAAATACGACAAATTACAGCGTTGATCAAACATCGCGGCTTCGGGTTTCCATTCGAATGCCGTGGG